TCTAACGGCAAAGCGGCGGTCAATTCCAGTCCGGTCAATTCCGTCGCCCAAACCGGTATCATTGTTGAGACATGGAAAGAGTGAGGTTTCTGCTGCTCATCAGATCTCTCAATCTTGGTCTCATCGTCATCGTCTTTTTTCGTTAAGACGTGACTAGGATTCGTGGCAGATGAGGAGAGCAAGAGTGTCTCTAGGCTCACTTATTTTCAGGGCGGCGATTAAGACGACCGAGACGGCGGAGATAGAAACGGTGTGTCCGTACGCATAAATATAAATAAAGATGGAAACTTTGGGGGGTTTGGGTTGATTGACTTTGTTATCGCAGTGAATATAGCACAGAGGAGTGCTAAATCTTTATTCGATTTCGGAAATGTTTTTAAAGAAATCTAAGGACATATCTTGGACTTCCAGGTATCTGTTTTCTTGGATTTCCAGGAAATGTATTCGATTTTTTTTCTTTTGGTAAAACCCTTTTGGAACTGACGTAATCTGGCTGCAACTGTTCTTCAGAGTTGAAAAGTTTTCTGTTTTGGAAAGGTTTGGTTTGTCTTCTTCTTCTTTGGAAAGTGGTTGAGACGCAAGCCTTCTTCAAGGGGATCTTTTTAGCAACCGGTGAAAGTTTCCTGCTTTTTGAAAGGTAACTATTTNATGTTGAAGGTTTTGCTTTTGGGATATATGTTTGGGGGTGTCTTTTCTGTGCCTGTGAATAATCCTCACTTGCGCAAATCCTGAAGTAGGCTCATCATCACCAATCTTGGTAACCACTTTTTCTTATTTTTTTTTTGTTGTTGTTTATCTCTGTTTGGATACTAGAAAAGTCAGATCTGAACATGGTGATTTTAAGACAAAAAAAAACTGTAACATGGTGACTGAGTATAAGGTTTTGACAGGAGAGAATGACTTGAAGAACTCAAGTATGCAACTAGGTACAATAACAATTGTGAAGTTGCAAAGTCCTTAGGTCCTTAGCAGTCTCAAGGTTTTTCTTCTTTTTCTCAAGTTCTTAAATTCTCTGTTAGAGTTTTGATTTTGTAGAATGTTAAATTCTAATTTTCAGTTTTTATTTGTCTTTTGTGTTAGTATCAACGGGTGTCAGAATGTCGGGAATTCAAGTCTTTTAAATGCATGGAAAAAAGTATGGAACATAATGATGCTTTTCATATCTTTAACACTTTTATTCAAATAGTACTACATTAAATTTTAAATACAGAAATCGGTGGAACTACTCGAGACGTAGTGGAAGCTAATGTTAGACTCCGTGACTTGCCTGTCACTCCTCATGACACTGGTGGTATCAGAGAAACCAATGATGTTGTCCTGAAAATAGATAATTTATTATTTTTTCAATGATTAATTGCCAAAGGTAAGATCTTGAGATAGAGAGTGATGGCAACTGCAGGAGTTGAGATGTTAGAAACAGCTTATAAAGTTTGTGATGTGATAATCATGGCTGTGAATGCTGTCGAAGGCTGGACACTGAGCTTCTTAGTAATTATTTGATGGTCATGGAGCCAGAATGCTCTAATGATTTGACCTTAGTTAGATGGTCGTGGAGCCAGAATTATGGCTGAGGGGTGAGATCAAAGTCCGAGATATCATAAGCAAGTACGGAGAATTTCGAGCAGCTCCACAAAAATACTTCCCCCATATACCAATGCTACGAGAAAAGTGACACTAGGGTGGAGAAAGTGAACTGGAAAAGTGTTCTTTGAATGAGGTCTATGCTGCAAATGGGAAGCAGACTCCTGAGACTTCTTGGCCTACTGACCAACTTGGTTTGTTGGCTTCCTCATCGGATGGGTCAGGCTGGCAGCCAAAGATTGTCAGTGTGCACCGGTTACACAGAGTATAAACCAATGCAATGGGATCTAAGGATCAATATGTCAAAACTTTTAAGCAGTTCAGTCTATCCCTTGGTTTTTAATATGTTCAAAAACGAACATCAGTGTTCTTCACTACCAAAACACAACATATATATAACATTAAATTTTATTTAATGAGTATTATAACTAATATTACCATTTTTAAAAAAAAAATTGTTCACTAATTTCAAGTGATTCATATTCTAATGTTTTCAGTAAATGAATGATTATTAAAGATGGTGTAATTTTTAACCAAATATAAATACATCATTTTCTACACATGTTTATAAATTTATAACTAGAAGTCTTCGGTGATAATTTGATAAACTTTACAATTAGAAAAAGATGACTGCATTGGGATATCCTTTGTCAAAGAACATACGGCTGAATTACTTTTACAGAACATCACTCCAAACACATACGGCTAAATATAACATTCATTTTTTCTTTATAAATTCATTTCTTATTTTTTTGTTCAAAAAAAAAATATTGTTTCTATCATAAATATATGATTATACATTTCTGGACGTGTTTTACTGTTTAAAATGTCACGTGAATGTACTTTGATCAAATCACAATGCATAAAACAAAAATAAAAGTTTAAACCAGGTGGAACTATACGCATGTGTGATGGATATCATGAATTACATGTATAGAACCATAAATTTACTTGACTTTTTAGTCATTATTTTATTAAATTATTAAATTATGTAATGCTTTTATTTTCTTATTAATTTATTATATTATGTAATGTTTTTATTTGTGCAACTGCAAACTAAAACTTATAATAATCATGTTTACTAATTTGTCGAATAATAGTTTATACAGCTTATATTGTATTCTTAAACATTTTTGTTGCATTTATACCCACATTTTACTTTAATACATGTTAGATTTAAAATGCGATAAGAACATAAATTTATACTTATCATTGTTGAATTTTATTTAAAACTAAATTCTATAAATTTATTTTATGTGATCGTGTACTTATTGACTACTAAATATTTGTTCAATTATATGAGCAATGTTCAATTGATAATGACATAATTCTAAATCTTATAATATAATTAGTATAATGATTCAAGATCCACAATTGTGTGGATTATTAAAGTGTCATGCTCATATCTATAATGTATATAAAGTTAGAAAGTATATGATTTATGGTTTTAGTTATTTCAATTATTGAATATTTTAGAATCGAATGTAATGATATAAATTGTAAAAATATATACAACAGTTAAATATAAGACTAAAATAAAAATAATTGAAAAGAAAACTCACAAGGATAAAAAATATTGTTAATATTTGTAATTTTTTAGTTGAGACATTGAATAAAATTTGTTAAACGCCTCAATACTAAAAAATACAATCTTATTTGGAAACACACAATAAACATTATAAATGACTTTGTTAAAATAATTACCTATAGAAAGACAGACTTCAACATATTGACTTATAATACATGTGTTTTTGATAAATCTTATTGGTTGATTCAGTTGGCAATAAAGAGGAATAATTTACAATACATATTAGTTTATCAAATTAAGAAATAACAAAGCCACTGCCACATTATCATCAGCTACTTTTGTAGTTTTGATCAGCTATTTTTGTAGTTTTGATTATAAATTTTATAAATTATCTAAAATATTTTAATTTTTCACAGATTATTTTTAAATTATAAATTTTATGATACATAAATTTTTACTATATTTAAACGTATTATCCGCGCGTAGCGCGGAAAACGACTCTAGTGGTTATAAAATTTTAAACAACACTAAAGAGTATAAGCTTCGGTATATAGAGCATTTTACACCCAAAAAAAAATCAATAATTTCGTAGGGGGGTTAACCTACAGATGTTGAGAAAAATTCAAAAATATGAAAATTTTGTTTTAATGTCTAGTTGCGTCATTCACTAGCATATGATGATGGCCAAAGAGGGTTAGAACCTTTGTTGTCTCTGTTTTCCAAGAGTATAAAGATTTATAATGGTTAGTCCACTAATTTAGGAAGTATATGAATTTTTTTTAAATTAATTGTTAACAAAAACTAAAACAATGTCCACATACAACGTAAGATAGTTTTGATTAAATTATTGTAAATTTAGAATGTGGTTTGATAATTTTAAATAACACTAGATAGTATGAACTTCGCTATATAAAGCAGTATAAGAAACTAAAATTTTTTTGTAAGGGTTTAATCCACAGATTTAGAAAAAGAAATCAGAAATATGAAAATATGGTTTTAGTTCTTAGTTACATCATATACTTACATAAGATGAAGGTAAAAGAGGTTTGAAACCTTTGTTGTCTCTGTTTATTCAGAAAATAGATATTTCATAGTACTTAATCTATTGATGTAGGTAGTGTATGAAGTTCTACTAAATTAACTGTTAAACAATTAGAATGATGTCTATTTATCATGAATGAGTGTTTAGCATACAATAATACAAGTAATAAAGTATGGTTTTGTATTTTTAAACTAAAAAGTACAAGTTTCAGTATATAGAGTATTTACCGAAAACCTAAATATTTATGTTGGGGGTAACCCACAGATTTTTAAAAAAATTTAAAATATGAAAACAATGATTTAATGCATAGTTGCTTCATATAATGACATATGATGATGGTCAAAAAGGTTTAAAACCTTTATTGTCTTCGTTTCTCTAGATAATAGAGATTTCATATGGGTTAATCGACTAATTTAACTTAAGTAGTGTACCATGAAGACGAGTTTAGCATACATTAATACAAATATATAATATGGTAATATAATTTTAAACAACACTAATGAGTATGAGCTCGATTCGGTATATAGAGCATCCATAGTGCGCATTTGGAAAATCACACGATTACTTCCAGTTGACCAAGTGGTTTAAATTAAGGCAAATCCCTATTTGTATACATCCATTCTCTGGTGCTTTCTACGTAGTTACATTTCTTAGATATTGTTTATGTGCTTTCCTATTTGATGTAGGTCCAACCCATTCACTTATACTATCTATGCTGTTTACTTGTATTGGGGTTTTCAGTCCGATAGGCACCACTGATGTTATGTTTATGTGAATCATATCATAACTAAAAAACCTCATTTCTTAGGAAGCATGCTCACTTTCCGGAAATGTCCTACAAAACTGTGTTCAAATGGTCAAACCAGCTACATAGTCGATGTAGGAGCCCGTACATCCTGGTGAATCCGAGAGCCCCATCATGGTTGAGTTTTGGGTGTAGTTCTTGCAAGAACATTAATAAATGAGCTGGCGAAGTGGTCACACGAAGACCCCAGGTGCAAAGTTTTATATTGACATAGGTGATAAAAGATTTAATGACGAGGTAAATATTATTTGAGAAAAGAAAAAAATATACATGTATGTGGCCTCGTCAACGTTGCTATCACCGGTTTCTGGTGCGCTGGATCAGAGTTTACAAGTTACCATTTAAATTTAGGTAAACAAAAACAATTCTATCTAATGTAGTTTTTATAATCTAATCTAGTGTATTCATGTTCCAGTTATAAGTTCCGAAATGCTCTAGTGTCACATTGTAGAAAACTTGGGACGTTGGAAGTATCTGCAGTCTCAACAGTTGGTGGCGCAGCTGCAGGGGTAGGGGTCGCTTGCTGCGTTGGAGGACTTGCTGGTTGAAGAGAACCTATAACAGGTCTTGGAGCAACTCCTGGAGTTAACATAGGCGTAAATCCTATGGCTCCAGCTTCCGGAGCAACGACTTGGGGCATCTTTGGGTTAGGATTTTGCCCAACTTGTGAGGGGTCAGGAGGTACATATGAACCTGGAGCGGGGGACAGGGTATGCATTGTTGGATGGTCCCTGATGACAGTTGTTAGTTTAGTGACTTTAGTCAAACTAAAATTGCAGGAAACATCAAAAACAATGAGTCATAAATGGTTCACATACTGTGAATAAATGAAAACCAACGTCTGGCTGCTGAATCACACATAACAAATAAAAAGCATCCCCATCACAAACATTTTTTACGACCTCTAGGCCATAGATTCTGCACGATGGAACTAAAACAAAGGTGTGCATGGCCTTAAGCGGATATGAGGATTATGTTTTTTTGGGTGTATTTTTTTGTCATACAAACAGAACTACAATCCATCCCGACAATATATGACTCAGAAATTCACACAAAAGAAGAGACCAGAGCACCACGTATATAATCTAGATTTCATCTAGACTTGGATCAATACCGTATAAACATAACAAAAACGGAAAAGCTCATAATCTATGCATCTGAGATTGCCAGGTGAGGATGACCATTAATGCATTATGGTGTAGCGAAGAATGAGAAAAAGGAAATGCAACAAAGTAAAAACTTAGAAACCTGCGGAGCTGGCTGAGCTTGGTGAGGCACAAACATGGTTGCTTGCTGCATGGGCGCATTGCTGAGGGTACATATCCTCCGACATAAGAATCAGTGTATAGTTGCTGATACTGATTATCATATGGATTACTAAGAACGTTTGGTTGCGCCTAAGTTGACTCCTAAGCCTCAGAAGAATATAGGCTAAGCATGTTATCCGTAAAAGCTATGGATTCCAGAGAGCTTCATGCTCCGATGTAAAGTAGTTGCAGACTACAAAAGAAAGAGCCCTGATTATACGGTATAGTGCTTTGAAGCTGAGTGCCTGAAGCTGGAGTGTTAGTCTCTGCAGATGCAATATAAGATGGGTAGTTTTGACATCAGAATTCATTCTCTTAAAATGAACTAACACTACTGCATACGTACCAGGCTCTGCAGTAAGAGAAATACGATCACGTAATATGGAAAGTTCAGGTGAGAAGCCACTAGAATCAAGAACTTTCAAGTACTTCATTGCTGTTGTAAGAAGCCCTTGGCTGGCCAATATCTCAGCGTAAGGACAGTCTTCTCCATAAGATCCTATTAAAAGAAAAGGGCAAAAGAATATGAGCAGAGAAGCCTAACTAATTATGCACAAAACATGGTACAAGTGATACATACTTAAAGAAGCTCCGCATATGATCTTCCATCGTGCTCGTTTGCAAGGCTCCTAGACCAAATTTATACTGTTCTTTCAACGCTGCCTGCGCATATGTAGCAGAGAACAGCAGCCAAAGTGTTACCAGCAGCCATCAACTTTGAGGTAAGGACATCGCAAAGGCTGGTCCATTGTTCTCCTTGTGCAAACTGTTTGCCAAACAATGTAAAAGCAACATTCGTTACAAAGTAGTTTTATAATGGCCAAAGCTAAGTAGCAGTTACATGCATCATGTAATACTGCGAATTGTTCAAGAGACAACGAAAATGACATATCACTTTACATTGTTTGAAGAGATAAAGTGAGAGGAGAATATATTTTGATCAAGTAAGACATAAAAAGCAAAGAGTTTGACAAACTTACAGTACAGTGGAGAGCAAGTGTTTGTTGCCGGAACTGAAGTGACCTTTGCATTGATAAGGCTCTTGAGATCGTTGTTCACCATCGCAGGAACAATCTGAAACAGATAAACATACAATAGTTAAGAGGGTTTGCAACCATAAAGAGGTATGTCCATTGCACTTGCCTACATATCAAGTTGGAAAGGTATATACATACCTTCATGTAAGGCCTTTAAATATTTCTCACGAGTAACAATGCTGTACCACGAACTTGAGCTATATAAGTTATAACTAAAGGCATCTCAGCCATCTTATTTGCAGATCTACACCGCTCATTGTAATTTCCAACAACTAAAGCACTCTGGATGGCATCATCAAACAATTCTTCCTCTTCTTATGGTATTTCTTGAGTTTCTTCCACTTTGGCATCAGAATCTGTTATCATAGCGTTATCAAAATTGTCATCAGAAGCTCTCCACTTTTAGTCCCTGTACCGCTTTTCTGGAATATCCTACACATAAAGTCAATAAATTTTATCCACTGGCACGAAAAAACTGACTTAAAAAAAAAGAAAAACCCGATAGATCTTACTAGTTGTAGCACACCAGCAATCTTTTTCACTCATGCATAACCCACTTGGTTCTTTCAACACGAGGAGCTCGATCCCTGTGATAAACAAGGGGGGTCTTCTTCTTCATCCCTCTCTCCAGTAACCTTTCTCCGTGGCAGGACAAAGAAATCCCCGTAATTGAGCTGGATCCCTGTCTATATAATCCCCAAAACAAAGTCAAAATCAAAATCAATCAAATCAAAACTAGATCATCGTAATTAAGCTACCCAATTCGAGAGAGAACAAAAAGAGAAAAAAAGTAACGAACGAGGTAGATCCCATGGCTCGCATCTGCAGATATCGGTGACGGTCTGGTGATATTTGATTAGCGCCTTTGCTAGAAGATTCCAACATGTCGAATTACCCTATTTTGGCAGCCTGCGTCGAATCATCGAATGAATGTACTTTGGGCCACATCATAAACCAGGCCCACCAAAGTTAATTCCTTGATGCCCAAGTTACTTTATGAACCGACTTACGTGAATCAATAACGGTACTATTTTTTTTTTGTTTCAGTTGAATTTCGAAATCTAAATTAACGCTCCCATCAGATAACGTTATCTTTTGTAACTCTTTAACCAATCTGTAAATCATCTTCTTCCTTACCCTTTTCTTTTCCTCTCTTGATCCTTCTTCATGAGCTTATACATTTCACCATCGGAGAAGACGTGACCAACCACGATCGCATCGGAGCCGCAGTTTCAGGTTCTGTAATCAAACACTAACATCGAAGGTGATTGACGAGTCGGGTCCGATCAAAGTAAGCACGATCGACGTTATTCATCGTGGTGACATTCAACGTGACTAAGGGTGCTTTACCCACTATTAAAGAAAGCAAAGGTCGTCGACCTTGTGGTTCCATATCTCTCCTCTCATCTCAAGCCCGCCATTAAAGCAAGGAAAATTCAGAGGTATAATTCGAGGAACAGTCTCCAATCTTCATGCATATATTTTGTTCTTTCTCGTTTCTTGTTTTAGGGTTTTCATTTCTTGATTCCAAATTTCAAACTTTAATCCTTTTGTTTTAGGGTTTTCGTTTCTTGATTCTCAATTTCAAACTTTAATCCTAGGGTTTTCGTGTACCTATCTATACCCTCTAATTCCTTTAAACTTCAAAATACAGATTATTGCTTTTTTGTTCTGTTTCAGGTTCTGTACAAAAACACCATCGTGTTCACCTACTCGACAACATATAATTATGAGTTTCGCCGAATTAAACTGTTTGTCTGGGCTTAGTACCTGAGGGTGTCTATACAAATTAATAAATTTCATGACAATGGGATCGGCCCAAACCCAGGTACGTACATTTTAAAAAATTTAAAGTTAGTTGCTTGCATTTAATAGTTAGTGGGATTGGGCCAGTTTCAAAATATTAGGTTTATTACTTGAACTTGCTTATTATACAGGCTACTATTATTTAGAATTTAAAATCACTCCAAAGCCCAATACACATATGTCCATACGTTTTGGAATTTTAGGTTTATTAATTGGGCTATCTTATAAATTCTATGAGTTTGGCCCAAATATGAAATACTTTGGTTTATTAATTGGGCTTGCTTATAAATTCTATGAGCTTGGCCCAAATATGAAATACTTTGGTTTACTATTTGGGCTTACCTTCAAAAATTTAGTATTATGTAGAATTTAAATACACTATAATAATAAACTTAAAATACACATGGGTATACGTTGTTGAAATATTCAGAATTATTACTTTGGGGTTTCTTACAAAAGTTCATACGATTTAGAATTCATAAAGTTTATAATTTGGCACGCTTATACAGCTACCACTGTTTAAATTTTGAAATAGTTAAGCCTTTGCTATAACATGCCCGATTATAAACGACACTTTAGTCTGTGTTCATTTCAAGTAATTGGGCTAACCTCATTTTATTTGTACGAATATTATCTGCTTTATAGGTGAACGCGTATTATTTGTGTGTGTAACTAAACTAATCAGATATCTTATTTGAACACTTAATTTTATAAATAATTGTTCGGGTTATTATAGTGACAAAATAGTTTGAATTTTATTTGTCAAATGAAAGACCTAAATATCAAGTTGAACTAAGAAACATAAATTTAGTTTTAATTTAATTTGAACTAGGGTTTAGGGTTTAGGGTTTAGGGTTTAGGGTTTAGGGTTTAGGGTTTAGGGTTTAGGGTTTAGGGTTTAGGGTTTAGGGTTTAGGGTTTAGGGTTTAGGGTTTAGGGTTTAGG